CCCCCAGTGCCCTGTGTTACTGACTGTATCCCTACTGATGTTAATCCCGCTCCCTCACACTGTCACTCAGTAACCCCTCTCCCCCCCCAGTGCCCTGTGTTACTGACTGTATCCCTACTGATGTTAATCCAGCTCCCTCACACTGTCACTCAGTAACCCCTCTCACCCCCAGTCCCCTGTGTTACTGACTGTATCCCTACTGATGTTAATCCAGCTCCCTCACACTGTCACTCAGTAACCCCTCTTCCCCCCAGCGCCCTTTGTTACTGACTGTATCCCTACTGATGTTAATCCCTCTCCCTCACACTGCAGTTGCTGAAGTGAACAGGCTGTTTGATTAAAGTGATGTATTGTATTGATTTAATTGTGGTGTAGGTGCAATACCTGCGGGAGAAATATTCCCAGTGTGATGCGATGCTGCGTGAGGCTCAGGAAGAGATGAAGAATTTGCGGAACAAGACCGCTCCGAATAGCTCCATCAATCGGTACCACACCGTGCCTGTCTATCCCATGGTAAACATTGCGAGATGCCCTGCACACACTGTCTCAACGCTGTTTAATATCTCATTGCCATTAACGTTCCATAACTGACATTAGCCTGAGGATGTCCGAGACAGTCTCCTGCTGGTTCCCTCTCTCTTCCAGAATTGGAAAAGTTCATAATTTTGCCTCCAGTTTTCATCCCACCCTCACCTTCACCTTCACCTGGTCCATCTCTGACTCCTCCCTCCCCTACCTTGATATCTCTGTTTCCATTTCTGGGGATAGACTGGTCACCAATTTCCACTGTAAACCCACTGGCTCTCACAGTTACCTTGATTATACATCCTCACACCCTGCTTCCTATTAAAGGCTCTATTCCATTCTCTCAGTTTCTCCTTTCAGGTTGCATCGGTTCTGCTGATAACAGCATCCTCAAGAGAACCCCTGAAATGTGCACCTTCTTCCCAGCTCTGTGATTGGCAGGGCCCTCAGCCGGTTCTGACCCATTTCCCACATTTTAATCTTCTCTCTCACTGCAGCCATAGGGTCCCCTTTATCCTGACCTACCATCCCACCAGCATCTGCATCCAGATGGTCATGAGACTGCATTTCTGCCACTCCCAGCAGGATGCCACCACCAGATGCATATTTCTCTCCCCTCCCTTGTCAGCATTCCACAGGGACTGTTCCCTCCAGGACATCTTGGTCCACTCCTCCTCCATTCCTGACACATCCCCACACCCCTCCATGGCACCTTCCCCTGCAACTGCAGAAGGTGTAACACTTATTTCCTCACTATCCAGACTCCAGACACACCTTCGAGGTGAAGCAGCACTTTACTTGCACTTCACTCAATCCAGTCTACTGCATTCATAGTGTGTCTCTTCTACACTGGGGAGACAAAGTGTAGACTGGGCGACCACTTTGCAGAGCACCCCCATTCTGTCCACACAAATGGCCCTGAGCTTCTAGTTGCCTGCCATTTCAACACACCCACCTGTTCCCTGGGCACCGTCTCTGTCTCAGGTGTGCTGCGTGTTCCACCAAAGCTCAGTGGAAAAACAACACTTCACATTCTGCTTGGGAACTCTCCAACCTTAAGGGCTCAACATAGAGTTCAATCTTTTAGGGCCTGAGCCTTCTGCCATGTCCTTACCCCAACCCCCACACACCAGGCCCTGTCATCTCATGGGCTGTCACCACAAACAACTCATTATTAGCCACTAATGGTCCCCATTAGCAGCTATTCATTTTCCTGGGCTGACCATTACCTTCCTTTGTCTGTCCAACTATTTTTCTCTGTCTCTGGACTCCATCTCCACCTATTGGTTACTCCTTCCTCTATGCCCCACCCCTTCTCTAGCATACCTTTAATCAGCTACAATCAGTTCTGAGGAAGGGTCAGTGGACCTGAAACATTAATTCTAAGTGTCTTTCCACATATCCTGCCAGACCTGCTGAGTTACTCCAGCCATCCCTGATTTTGTTCCTGATTTGGAGCATTTGCAGTTCTTTGGTTTTTTTGAGCCAGTCTCCTGCTGTATGGGCTAGGGGCCTTGCCCCAGGGACCACTTCAAACACTCGGCATTGTAATACTATTGACTGCTCAACTTGAGACTGTCTTCACTTTTAAAGAGGCTTTATTTTGGGCAGAGGTGACCGAAGAGTTATCCTGTTCTATCCCTGCTTTGTTCATTGAACTGAGCTTTATAACAATTTGTAAATCCCTTGGTTATGGCCAGGACTGATCACTGCCCAGGGTCTAAGTGTGTGGGCGTGTTACCTAAGAACTGTTTCCTTATGAACTCTGATTCCCCGATGATCATTGGCAATCCAATATTCAAACACACTGACTGGGGAGATGTGGAGAGCTTCCCAGAGAAAGTCTGCACCTTCAAGTCAGGAGAACCTGGAAGTAAGACAGACGTACATTCATACAAGTTTCACAGTCCCATGATGCCCCAAAGTGCTTTCACAGCCACTGTAGTATTCTGACTGAGCAGCTAATTTGCACAAACAATAAGGAGCAGATCATCATTTTATAGTGAATTTGGTTGGAAGATAAATATTGGTAAAAGTAATTTGGAGAACTCACTTGCTCGTAAATGGTGCCCACACATTTATCAGAATCAGTAATTACAGCTGCAGATAACATCTCCTTCTCCATCACTGAAGCATTCTCTCAACTGTTTCCTGGATCCTTCCATATCGACACCCAGTTTATTATCTTACTTGGGATAACATAAACATTAAATAGAACATTCTGCTGGAGGTTAAACGCGCAGCGTGGTGGTAGCAGTGGGAAACAGAAAACTTAGTGAAAAAACCAACAGATGTTTATTATATTTAAATATTATACACAAGCATTATACTCCTCAGACATGCTAGCATCTGGGCTAGCATTAATCTATACAGAGCAGTATGATTTCTGTAGGGTGTCATACTTCATGTGGTCCTGGGTAAGATGGAGCCTGAGACCTCTATCTTCAGGCCACATGCTGTGATGCCATGATGGTATCATGAGCATGTATTATAAATGTATACTGACAGTGAGACATAACACAAGGGAATGTTCCTTTGTCAGGTGTTAGGGACTCCACTGAGTGTTTGTCTCCTGTTACAATTGAGATCTCTTCCATTGAAGGACTCTCTTGCTGCTGAAATCGAAGGAACAATGCGGAAAGGTTTACACATCGACACTACTGCATCGCTGGAGAACAGGTAGGAGAGAAGGACACGGCAACACAGCTCATCCTCCTTCTGAGAAATGTCAGACTGGGCAGCTAATGCTGAATCTAATGGTTTTGAACTGAGTTTTCACTCTGAATGTTTCAGCTAAGAATTTAGGTTGAGGATGTTGTTACTGGTTTGATGTGAGCTCCCATCTGTGCTGTACTTGGTCAAGAAGAATTCTGGTTTGTGTTGGATGAACTGTCCTTGGACTGTGGGCTTGGTAATATTTCCTCTGTGACTTCGCTGAGGAGAGAGTGACTCCCAAAGGAAAGTGGATGTCATATTTGGGGCCCATGGAGTGTGCTTGCCTGCACAGACACATTGTGAAGGCAGCACTGTAAGTTTTAGTGTTTCTGTTACATTAATCAGTCACTGTTAGAACCAGTACCCAATCCACAATTGAGGCCAGAGCTTCTTTACCTTTCTTAAAGAAAGACTTGCATTTCAATACTACCCTTCCTGTCCTGAGGACATCTCCAAACCCTATAGAATGAAGTGCTTTGTAAATAAAGGCTCTACCATAGTGCAGGGAACACAGGAACCTGTTTACTGCACAGCAAGCTCCCACAATAGCTACAGGATAATGATCAGTAAATCTGTTTTTGATGATATTAGTTGGGGGTGAATTTTGACGGTGCATTGGGGAGAACCCACACACTGTCTTTCTCAGACTAGTCTCAGGGGACCTTTTAGACTCACTTGAAAGTTTAGTCAGGGTCTTGTCTGAAAAGCAGCACTTGTCACGATGTAGCTGTCCTTCACTGTACGGTACAGCACGGTCCTGGCAGTGTTGACCCACAGTTTTACTCTCAGATTCTGGAGTAAGACTTGAAACTACAACTTCCTGACTTGGAAGTGAGAGTGTGACCCACTCATCTCTGGCAGAGACATCTGGGTGTGGTTATTAACGGTGTGCTTTCCTCTTGCAGTAACTACAACCGAAGGGTCTTTGAGACAGTGCGGGCAGTCAACCAGGCAGTAAAGCTGAAATCTCGCTCCCAATCCCCTCAGAACATTCCGGGGTCCAGCCCATCGTCAACAGGACAGTCTGGATCCAGCCACTTCAGCAGCCCCCGCACGAGCTTCTATGAGTCAAATACATCCAGTACCGGGCTGGACGACAAACTGCAGTCCCTGAGCCTGGAGACAGAGAGCACTCCGTAAGAATCTCCTCCTGTTCCACATACATTGCAGCATTGTAAAACGTCACAACACACAAGGGGGCTATTCAGCCATTATACCTGAGATAGCACTGTGAAAGAAAAACATGCATTTATACAGTACCCTTCACAAGCCTAAGACCTCTGAAACACTTCACAGCTTGCTTGAAATGTAGTCCCTGTAGGAAATGTTGCAGCCAGTTTGGGCAAAGCTAGCTCCCACAACAGCGAAATGTTAACAGCCAGTTTTAACTGTAACATTGATAAAGGGATAAATATTGGTCAGAACACTGGTGAAAAAAAACCCCTCTTTTCTTCAACATAGAGTCATGTGATCTTTTATCTCCATCTGACTGGCCTTGGTTTAATGTCTCATCTAACAGACACGACCTGAAACAGTGTAGAAATAACCACAGAGATAGTAGGAACTGCAGATGCTGGAGAATCTGAGAT